GGCTGGTGGAACTCAAGGTGACTGAAGGTGCAGCCATATGTCCTGCTTCTGGCTCCATCCCACTGAATGGATCTGAAGGGAACAGGCACGCCTACAAAATGTACTGGTGCATCTATCCAAGGAAGCAAGCAAGTTCACCCTTAGCCCCCAACACACACACATGCATGCACACACACTTTGCTTCTTGAAGCAGTGCACAACAGAGGTGCAATCAATTGCACTTCAGAGATGCAAAGTTTCTTGCCTCCCTCTGGAACTATGCTGGCATGTGATGGGCAACTAGGAAATCTAACATACTGATGTGTACACAGATAGTCAATATGATGTAGACCCTGTTTACACCTGAAGAATGATATTATGTTTACCAAAGGGAGGCATCCATACTGACAAAATAAGATAAAATATGAATAGGATTATTGTTGGAGTCCATCTAAAGGCAAACTAAAATAGGCACAGACAACAACCTGGAAGTGGCATACAGCCTATCCAACCCCAATTGGGGGTGGGGCACTGGAGGAGTTATAAATGAGGTCAAGGTCAAATTACTGAGGTATTGAAAGGACTGAGAGCTTAGAAAGAGTCAGTGTTACCAAATGTTAACTAGATCAGAAACCATGAGATATGACTATGGGAGTGCTACTGATTGTTGACTTGGTGTTTATGACCACTGATTAGTCTGAGGAAGAAATTCACAGCTTGTGTTAGGTGGGCAATTCTGAAGGAGTAAGTTTGTGGGACTCCATTGCATGTCTCTGTCCTTTGAAAACTAGTTCTCAGTAAACAGAAGTTACCAATTTGGACTTAGAATGAGACCCTTTCCCCCAGAGAAGTGAGGTTCAGATTACTGATCTAGAATCAAGAAAGGAGATGGTGTGACAAATGACTCCAAAGTACATATTGTGGGGCATCTGAAATCCCAGGGCACATACCAAAAGCTGGTTTTCAAATGTCCCCAAATTGGCGAGGTGGGGAGGAAGTTCCTTTTGAATTGCTTCTGTCTCATGTCATGGTAATGGCAGCACAACAGCAGTAGCAATGAGCAACCCTGCAGGAGTAGTTCCTCTACATTCCTCACTAGTCAGGCCTCACCTGGAGTAGTGTGTCCAGTTTTGGGCATCAAGATTTAAGAAAGATGCAGAAAAATTAGAAATGGTCCAGAGAAGGGCAACAAAAATGATTCATGGTTTGGAAGCACTTATGAGACTGAGAGAATGGGGCATGTTCAGCCTTGAGAAGACTGAGGGGTGACATGATATCCCTCTATAAGTACCTCAAAGGCTGTCATAAAGAGGAAGGTCAAGATCTCTCCATGCTGGTGCCAGATTACAGGAATAATCAATTCAAGTTGCGGCAACCCAGATTCAGGTTGGACATCAGGAAAAGCTTCCTCACTGCCAGATCAATACAACAGTAGAACTGGCTGCCTAGAGAGGTGGTGGGCTCTCCCACACTAGAGACATTGAACTGGACAGCCATTTGAGTGGAATGGTGTAACTTGGTGTCCTGCAACAGCAGGGGGTTGGACCCGATGGCCTTCATGTCCCCTACCAACTCTACTATACTATGATTCTATGACTAGAGGAACAATTACCCCTCTCAATTTGTCACTTGAATCATGTGGCTTTTAGTTAAGTCAGCCTTGAAATAGCAGGGAAGACTGATATGGAGTACCAGTTCACATCAACTTTCCTTGTAACCATTGCAGCATTTGGGTTGAAGGGTATACCTGTTTGCCTGGGTGTGAGTGATTATCCTTGGTTCAAGTCTACTCACTTTGTAAGGTTTGTGAAAACATGGTGGAAAAAAAGTCAGGACAACTTTAAGCATGATCTTCAATTAAACTGTAGCTCCATAGAAGGCCTGCATGAATCAGTCCAAAGGAGGCATTTGTTGCGCTCAGTTTGGATAGCAATGCAGACATCAAGCTGATGAATTCAGCAGGAAGAAGTTTGCTGTTACATTCATTGGAGCTTTCTCAGTAATGCAGAGAAAGCAGTCCAGAATGAGAATTGTGGGTGGCAGAAGAGTTACATTTTATTTAGTTAATATATGCTAGACTATTTTTCAAGCTAACCCTAACCCTGCTCCCCCCCAACAAAACACAGTACAATGTACTTTTAAAATAGACATAAATAATCAACCATCAAAAAAGAAAGCAGAATTTGCATGATTCATGAAACAGGAAAGTATTTGGCTAAATAAAAGGAAAATATGATGGTTTACAGAAAAACAGAACCCCACATCTTAAAAAGATCTGTGTGAAAGTCTCCAAATAATTTTTATGGCTTTACTCAGGTTTTGCAGATACCACATTCTCTTAGCAATATTGCTTGTGGTTCCTTTCAGAGTTTACAAATATCTTATATACTAATAATAAACCCATTTTCCCAGGGAAAAGGCCTAAAGGAGAGGGGTTTCAGCTACTACCCTCTGAGGAAAGGTTACAACAGCTTAGGATGTTTAAAATGCAAATAAGGTGAGATGTGACAGAGGTATACTGAATTATGCATAGTACAGAGAAAGTGCATGGGAGGACATTTTTCATCCTCTCTCATAATACTAGGTGCTAGGGTCATCTCATGAAGCTGATTGGTGGGATAATTCAGACCCTTTCTTCACACAGTACATACTTAAAAGGCAGGTTGATTACCTGTAACTGTTGTTCTTTGGGGACTCATCACACACGAGGGCTTTTGTGCCTGCGCAGAGTCTAGAATCAGGAAAAGCTTCTAAAGCTAAGTGTTCATATGGATGGAAGCCCCTCCCCTTCCTGTTCCCAGGAGGCCAACATGCCCCCAGTTCCTATAGAGATCACCAAGTGTCTCTGGACTGAGGGGTGGGAGAGGGGTGTCCCTGACCCTTCTGGGCCCTGAGCATCTGCAGACAAGAAAAAACGGTTGATTAAGAAGGATGACAACAGGTGAGGCAGGAAGGTGGGTTCTGTGAATGTACAGATGATCACTCAAAGAATGACAGTTTCCAATTCTAGGCTCTTTGTAGGCACAAAACCCCTTATGTGTGATGCACTGAGACCATGAAGAAAAACTATGGAATTCATTTCCGCAAGATGTAAATGATAGCCAATTTGGACAGCTTTAAAAGGGAACTGGCCAAATTCATGGATGAGACGACTTTTGATGGCTATGAGTATTGATGGCTATATGCTACTTCAGGATTAGAGCCAATATCCCATGAATACCAGTTACTCAGGGAGACAGGTGCTTTTGTACTCATGTTGTAAGAGTCAGGACATGGGTGGCAGGCTGGGATGGGAAGAAAGCCATAATCAGGGTGCTGGTGTGAGGCAGGGAGTCACAGTCCTGTAAGGCCAAAGGCTGGCAGCATGGTCAAAAGTCCAAGATCAGAAACAAGGCAGTAGGCAGTCCGGTATAGTCTGAGGGAGACAACACAGTCCAGAAACAGTCCAGGGGTTGTATGCCTGGGGAGCAGTCACATAAATGTGGTCAAGATGAAAGAGGGAGGCAACAGGGACAGGAAATAGTGGGCTGGAACACAGCAACAACAAATGAGAACAAGGCAGGGACTAACCAGAGCAAGGCAGGAACAAACTGGAACAAGCAGTGACAAACAAAAACAAGGTTCAAGGCATAGTGATGCTGAGAGCCAGAGCACAAGAGACTCACAGAGACTGACTTGCATTGCTGTGACAAGGAGCAGTCCTGTAGAGAAGCCTTTTATTTCCAGGGCCATAATTGCCTCTCAGGTGTTCCCTCCAAGTGCCTGCAGAGGTGTTTCTGGTTCTGCAAACTCTTGCAGGGTATGCCAGGCCCTGGTCCTGACATAGGCTCTGCTTGTGGGATCCTATGGCAGCTGGTTGGCCAGGGTGTGAAGAGAATGCTGGAGTAGAAGGACCCCTGGACTGATCTAGCGTGGATCTTCTTGTGTACTGCTTATGTTCTTCGGCTGCTGAAGCACATAATGCTCAACTTTCAACTTTCCAGACTGCTTTTCAAACGGTTGCTGCCACTGTTGCTGCTTCATGTTGAATTTATATCCAGCTTTTCTTCCTCTTGTAAAGGAGGGCACATTGCTTATCTGTAATTGTTGTTCTTTGAGTGATCATTTGTGCATTCATACACATGGGCCCTGTGCCTGCATGGAGCCTGTTGTTGCAAGATTCTACAGCTCAGCATTAGTCTGGGGGCAACCCCTCCCCTTCTTGTTCCTTGCATCTATAGAGGGGCTCCCCACTCATTCCCTCAGTTCCATTGAGACCACCTATAAGTCTCATGTCTGAGGAAACAGTGTTGTGCTGCCCCAGTCTGACCCCTGTGTCCCCCACAGAGGGGGGCTAGCTGTCTTTGGTTCGATACCCAGTGAGCCTGGAGGGTGAGTTGCGTGAATGCACAGATGACCACTCAAAAAACAACAGTTACAGGAAAGCTACTGATAGCAACTCTCCACAGTGGATAAGATGGTATTGCGCCCATTTTATTTAAAATGAAGACTAAAAAAATTGGTTGATTAGTACAAGGTTATATATGGAACAGCATAAAAAATGATCTCCTCTATCATAAGATGGTTGGTCTCAAATAAAATTCACTTAGTTATTCATACAGTAAAGCATCAACAACAATCCAGATAGTTTTTCCAGCACCAGAGACCCTTCTCTTAATTCAGCAATCTCAGATTCAGAAGCACTTTTCATCTACCTAAAACAAAGATTTTTGCAAAGACTTTTCATGATTAAAAAGAAAAAGATACTGGAAAGAAAACATGAGCATTGCAAAGAATAGCAAACTTCATTTAAGGATATAAAACCACAAATTTCCCATTATACGTATTTCAGGAGTTTTCTTAAATCCTTGCATGATCTGCATCTGCTGTAAAACAATACTGTCTTTATTTGGACATGCTGCAACAGCATTCTTGGAACTGCTTTAATTGTGGCATATAAATAAATAAATAAATAAATAATAAATTAAGGTGTTTTCAACGCATAAAATATGATCAAAATTAATAGATATCAAGAAAAATACCTTAGTGACAGGAAGTTCCTTGGATTTAGACTCGAAGAGGTGCTCTAACTTGGATGTATCCACCTTAATAGGCTCCAGTTTTGACCACAGGAATCCTTTGCAGCGTTTGTTGTTCTTATATTGCCACTCAAATGGTCTCACCTCATTCCAAAAAAGACGGATGGTTTTCTTTTTTTTAATAAAGGCTGGCTGACCTCTAGGAAGTGGAGGTGACCCTAAACCCTGAGAAGTGCCAAATAGGGGAGGCGGAGCCAATAAATTACCAGACGGTGGCGGAGGAGGGGGACATCCATAAAACAAGGGAGGGGGTGGAGGAGGCAAACCTAAAAAGGAAAGTGGGGGAGGGGGTGGAGTGACTAGAGAGTCACCAGGAACCATTTCCATGTCCAGTATATCAACATCATCCTCATCCTTTAGGTCCGTAAAATCCATGTCTTTGATTTTAAGTTCCCTTGGATTAGCCATGAGTTGATCCCAAATATAGTCTGATTCCTTCTTAGCCTGAGCTGCTGTTTTTTCAGAGGCCTTTTCACCAAAATCACTTTCAGGAAAGTTTGAGGTCTTGCCCAGCTCACCATTACTGAATCTTTCTGCAAAGGCTTTCACACTACCCTGATTGTCCAAATTCCCAATATCCATTTTTTTGACACTTTCATCTTTGGCCAGCTTGGTGGCCTGCAAGACTGAGATCCTGCTGGCAAGGCTGGTGATAGCATCTTCACTTCCCTCCACCACAACCTTTTCCTCCGTCTTCTCCTCCAACTCTTTATTCTCTTCATCTTTGGGCTTCTTGTTATGGGCATACAACATGTCCAGCATGAACCGCTTGTTGTTGAGAATGTTGCTGCACTGGTCATTCACACCAACATCTTGAATGGTCTGTAACCATGGACCTGAAACTACACACATCAAAGATTCAACAGAAACAGGTGAAAATCCATACATGAACAGTAACAGTTGCAGCTGGGAATAGGTATAGTTCTCTGGAAGAGTCAAAAATAAAATGGCATGTTCCTAGATCCTACACACCAGTGTTTCCTCAACTGAGGCTCTCATAGATCTTTCAGGTGAAAGTTTGTGTCAGGGATGAGAATTGTGAGGCCTTCCTGATATCATTAGAATGCAATTCTCATTACCCCTTACCACTGGCTGTATTGATTAGGGCTGATGGGAGCCACAGTACCCACCCTAACTAAAAGAACTGGTCAGCTACAACTATGTGGTTGCTACTGCTTTCATTAACAAACATCCTTTCCTATTTATATTTCAGTAATTTGGACCTGTATTATTTTAATAGATGCTTAAAACTACAGATACTGTTCAACTACCTATTTTAGATAGTAGAACCACCGGTAAACTGGAGGCCACTTGTATTTTTGTGTGTGGAAAGTAGAGCCCATCACAATTTAGAGCATAGAAATTATTGCTTCATAATAAAAGGAGCTATATGCTTGGCATATGAAGCAAATGTGCATACACCCCGGTTCAGAACCTGTGTCGCCCCCAGAGGGGGGGTAGTTGTCTTTGGTTCAACATGTAGTGGAGCTGGAGGTGGATTCTGTGAATGCACAGATGACCCCTTGAAGAATGACAGTAAGCAATCTGACTCCTTCTTTGTGGCCTCTGTGCATCACACAATAGATGACTAGCAAGCTTACCCTGGAGAAGATAGTGGGAAGGTGTCATCACAGGAGGGTCATGGGGTGGACTGCTCTGCCAAAAGGGCAGTCTGTCTAACTCAGAAGTTTTTGTCTGTATGAATTGGCAAACATTGAAGGTGAGGACCATGTAGCTGCTCTACAAAGGTCCTACAAAGAAAATTCCCATGAAGAGGGCTGTGGATGTCACTGTGGCTCATGTGGAGTGGGCTCCTGGATGGGCCAAGAGTTGTAGGCTGGCCAGCTCATAGGCTGGGGGATGGTGTTTCTGACCCAGGCTCTGGTCTCTGAGCAGACAAAGGAGAGCTTTAGCCCCTCTTTGGAGGAGCACGTTTAGAGACTGGATGATGTGCTCGATTGTGGCATTCTGTGGGTCAAGGGTGTCCTGTTGCACAGGAGGGTGAATGCCTGCCATATGATTAGGTAAGATTTTCTCAATGATGGTTTCAAACATTGAAGGTGGTTCTGACACCTTGTAGCAGAACATTGATTATGAAAGTTTATGACATAATACACCATGCCATGAGACTTAGAGGGTTGATGTTAGGGTGTAGGATTCTGCCCCAGCCTCATGATATCAAGCTTGCGCTGTGAGGGAGATGGAGGAATATCCTGTGGCAGAGTTGTAGAAATCAAGCAAAACATAAAGATGCAGTCTGGTGCTCAGTTGCCACTCATGCACATCAAGGCTCATAAGGATGAGTGACTGCCCCAATGTTGTATCTCTTGGACTCTGGTCAATACCAGGCCCCCTGGCTTCTCAGGTCACCAAAGTTGCTCCCCATCCCAATAGTGATCCATCTGTGGTGACAATGATTGACAGGTTTGGGGATGAGAAGCTGATGCCTGTTGGCAAATTGTGAGGATTAGTCCACTTGTAGCAGCTGTTCCAGGTGGGTGGAAGGACATCAAGGTGTGTCTTGTGCAGGCAGTCCAATATGCAGAGCGCATGGACAAATGGTTTTTGTAAGGTTGCATTTGGAGCTTTGCAAAAAGGATCATTGCCGTTTTCATGCCACAGGGAGAGCTGGAATTGAGCCATGGTGGCCTCATAGAAAGATAAAAACATAGCAAGTCAGATGGGACCTCCTGGGCCACCTAGCCTGATTCCCAGGTCCAGCCAGCGCTGCTCATGTAATACCCAACAATGTGGTTGTCCAATCTTTCCTTGAATATCCTCACTGATGGGGCCTCCACCCCCTCCCGTGGAAGTCCATTCCATATGCTAGGAGTCCTAATTGTCAGGAAGTACTTCCTGACATCCAACCTGAAACCCCATTCCTTGAGTTTTGCCCCACTGGATTGCATCCTGTCCTCCACTGCAGGGGAGAACAGGTCACAACCCTCTTTCATGTGACACCCCTTCACATACCTATATGCTGTAAGATCCCCTTGGGCTCTCTTCCTCTCCAGGCTGAAAAGATGCAGTTCCCTTAATCCCATCCCATCCTATTCTTGTAACCCTGTGCTGAACTGAATCTAACCTAGCTATGCCTCTCTTGTAATGTGGAGCCCACAACTGGATACAATTCTCCAGTTGTAGGCACACTGGTGTCGAATAGAGAGGTACTAACATCTCTCTCAATCTGGAAGCCATTCTTCTGGCTATACATCCAAGGGGGGCATTCATCTTCTTAACTGTTGCATCACACTACTGGCTCATGTAGTTGGAGATATGGAGACTGGAGGCTGAGGCAGTATAGCTCTGCCATGCAAGTCTGCCAAGGTGGCCTCCCTCTGGAGCTCACTGCTGCCTCTGGGAACTCCTAATTCCACTACGGTGGAATTGGCTTGTAGGTGCCGAGAAAGGAAAGACATGCCTCTGTCATGCATGTGGTAGGTGGACTCTGCCATCCTGGATGTGGAGAGGGAGACTATAGAGGAGTTCCAGGACCTCTTCACCACCTGAAGCAGGGCTGAAAAGTATGGTATGGTCATGAGTGTGGCGCTCCCACTGCCCAGCGCATTGTAGAGGGTGTCAGCAACATGGTCCTGGTGGTTCTCTGTCTTGAGACCAGGGTCCTTGACCATGTGGAGCACCTGATCCATGAAGTGCCCCTTCTCTTCTGAGGGGGATGCATGGTTCAGCTTGAAGACTACACCTCTGGACTGCTTGAAGGGCTGCGAGGAGGCGATCTGGTGTTGGAGAGTGGCCATGTCCCAGTACCAGGGCTTGTGAGTGTTGCAGTACTGGACAGTCTTGACAGCTCAGTAGTGGGCTCTGGTTGTGAGTCATTGTGTCTAGCTATTGGGGTGCACCAGTGCCTTGTACTGGCATGGTACTGGGGATCTATCTTGTCTTTGCTGGAGAGGTTGTAGAAGTCTCCAAAGTGGATGGGAGGCAATGGCCTGTCAGAGGTCCATGCCTGATCAGGGAAGGGAGAGCAGGAACAAACTCGGCATTCCCTGCCCTCCTTTCATGACAATGTGGTGGAGTGCTGCAGTGTAGACCAAGGAGCTGGTGTTCCAAAGGGGACATGGGCAGTGTTGGGAGCTTGGAGAGTGTGAAGACACAGCAGTAGCACTCTGGGAAGCATTGAAGGTCTACTCAAGCTTATCCCTAGGCATGTTGAAGTTCTCTTCCTGGGGCTCCAGGGTGATTGGGTGGCTGCTGGGCTCCGGTGGAATGGTGGAGGGAGAGGTCAGCCTGGAGGGGCTATTGCAGTGTTCATATTTGGAGGTTGATGTGGTGCAGGCAGCTGTTTTGGTCAGGCACTTGGCTGCCCTCTTGCTTGTGCAGAAGCCCGGGGGTACTTCCCTTACAGTTCAGTTGTGGGGGGGGGGCTTTCAGTGCAGACATGGAGGGAATGGCTGAGCCCTTTGAGGAGTCAGCCACCTGGAGGGCCTATTTCCAGAGGGCGGCCTTCAGTCAGAAGGTGCACCACTTGCAGGTCTGCTTGGTGAAGGCCTGGCACATAGCACAGGCCTCCACCATGTGCCCCTTGCTGAGGCAGAGGAGGACTGTTAGATGGGGCTGCTGCAATTGTGGCATTTTTGAAAAAGTTCCAATGGCATAGAGGGGATGGGATCAAGGAAAGGGAATAAGGGGCAAGGGCAGACTTGGCAGAAGTAGGTAAAGTGGGACATCATCATTATTTGGTAAGGGTTTTTATTTAAGCAAAAGAATGAACAGAGAAGGAAAAGGCAGAAACTTCTACTGAGAAGGTATGGAATAAGATAAGAAAAGGAACACAGAAACTTAAAGAGTAAGAGAGAGAGAGAGAGAGAGAGAGAGAGAGAGAGAGAGAGAGAGAGAAGGCTATTCTGGTCTACGCTTGATGGTGGTCAAAAAGAAACTGAGGCAAAAGGTGAGAACCCCTCCCATGGCCTTCTGGGAACAAGAAAGGGAAGAGCTCTCACTCACTACTTGAACAATTAACTTCAGCAGCTTTTCCCAGGTTCCAGGCTTTGCATTGGAATGAAAGCCCATATGTGTGATGCACAGAGACCAAGAACCGCAACAATTATGTTTATAAACACAGATTGCAACAATTTCACACCCTGTAGTAATTTATTACGAACCAGCATGTGTGGGACATAGAAACATGGAAACAGAGTGAGTCAGAAGGGGCCTCCCAGGCCATCTAGTCTGACCTCCGGCACTAGCCGGCTCTGCTCACGACATGCCCACCATGTCCACATCCAGCCTATCTTTGAATACCCTCACCGATGGGGCTTCAATGACCTCTCGTGGAAGCCCATTCCACACCCTCGGGACTGTCATCAACATTTCATCCCAAACTGTCAAACCACCTGAGAAAAACATGCCTCAAATGTGTTTCTTTGCTCTGTGATCTTGTAATAGCATCAACCAATTAACACAGCAGGGAAAATGTTCAAAATCTGTGAGAAGAGATGGTCATCTGTTTTCAATGATTACAGAAATAATCATACTTCTGTACTTATAAGTGTACAGAAAATACTGGAAGTGGTCTCTTAAACTTAGTCGAACACTAAATTTAGTCCAAGGGCAAGATATTCAATCTGGGAAGTAAATCTTCAGGGTTCTCAATATTTGATCAATATCTTGTTTCTATAATTCTTACTCATGTATTATTTGTGTTGCATGAGATATTCCCACATATTTCTAGTGGTTTACCACTTCCAATTATTTCTACAACTTCCTTTGAGATGTGATAAATGGATGAATTGGATTCTATGAAAACTGATGTCAAGCAAAAAGGAACAGCTTTCTGACCACTAGGCTGCTCCAGTTGATGTTACCATTTTAGAGATTGCAC